TGGACAATGCCCTTAAAAACATGCTTTAAACTTTGGTCAGCCCTGAACTGGTCAGGCAGTTGGACTAGATGATCGTTGTAGGTCCCTTCCAACTGAAAGAGTCTATTCTATTCTATTCTAACACTACCATGAATAAATGCATATTCAATTTTTATACCATTTCTTCCATGACTTGTAGTTTTTAACAAACATTTACCTCTCGTGATTAATTTTATTTAAAATCTCTATTAACCACCTCCCCTAAACACTTCTTTTCACAGAAAAATGAAGTGAATATGAATAATGTAAAATATATATTACCAAATATTTAAAATTCACTCTTATAAAATCAATGATCCATTAATAAGTGTGAGGAAAGAACAATGTGCATGAAAAAGTTCTGGTGAAAGATGAAATTTTTAGTTAGAAACTTCAGGCATTAAAGGCCAAGTAAATTCTAGTAAACCCTAGATTCATTTCAAATCTTCTGCTTAAAGTTTTAGAACTAAGCTTATGTATTTTTCTGTCCAGATCAAATTGCCTTTTCATGTTGACGAACATCTCCTTAATCATATTAAATATTTCATTTGAACATTCTCAAAAATATATTAAAAAAATAGCATTTTGAAATAGCATCTTTTCCATTGTCTGTCTTAATTTTTATTTTTATAAATAAACAAATGCTCCAAATGAAGGGCAAACTGAGTTTAATATAATTTCTTTTTGTTTGGCCAATGAGACTAATGACCAATTACTGGTACAATTCTTATTCAAATTTCATAATTCTTAGTTCTCAAAACCTGCTGAGGTTTCACTAGTTATTAAAAGAATAGCCAAGTCTTTCAAGAATGACTGTACTCATATGCACTGGATTTTAACTTCACAAAATTTCTGAAGCAGTCAGAGTGAAAGGACTGGTTACCATTTGCCTGAACAGTGAAAATTATTTGGAAATTCAATAGGAAAGCTGTTTTTTCTGACTTTTAGGTGTTTAATGCATTTGTCAAGAGCTTGCAAAAAGTCAGTGTTTCAAATAAAGGCCACAACTTGGGTTATCTTGATGGCTTAGGAATATGGCTACATTTGAAAGACAGACCAGATGATCAGTCGCTACGTGCATATGATTATTTCATGAAAATTCAGCATGTGTTACAGGTTTTGTTCGAAGAGTGAAACATTCTGAACTGAAATATAAAGGTCAGCTATATAAGCAAGTACTTGTACGCCTACCAGTAATGTCTTACCTAAAACCAACCAATACTGGAACTAAAGGTCTCACTGATTTGCATCCAGTAACACTGTGTCCATGACTAAAACAATTTTTCCAGGGCTTTCAGCTTACCTTCACATAAGGCTATGCATTTTAAGTTACGGCTTTGCAAAAATTGTGACTGTTGTCCTTTCTTCTGTGACTGAGACGTAAAAACATGAGAAAACTTAATTAGTGCATTAAGACAAACTGAGTGAAAAAGTAACAAAGGAGAGGGCTGCTATTTTCAGTGGTTTATTAATGAACAAAGATAGAGGCAGTCTTTCTAAAACATTTCTATTTTATTTCTAAATGTGATAGAATTTCTAAAAACATTTATATTATTTGTTTGGATTATTGTAGGAGGAATTTGAACTCCTTTATACAGAAAGAACAGTTCCTAATTATTACAGAATTAATAATACTATTAGACATATCAGAGTGTTACTGATAAACAAATTGATAGCAGAAAAAAAAAAGGTGAATTTGATCACCGATTCATTGGCCGCTACCCCGATATTTTACTGGCCTTCCCATTTCTGAGGGCTTCCGCTGTTACATACCAATCTCTCTCCAAAGCCAGATTATTCTGTAGTTTCTATGTGTTAACTATGGAGACAGATGTAAGATTTCTTTCTCAAAATTTAGCCCTACACATAAATGCTGTGAGTTTGCTTTAGATAAAGCAGAATTGTAATGGTTTAATATGTAAAAACCATGAAAAAGAAAAACTGTCTTGCTATAAATGAAATGCTATTCATTTTCAGTAACCACTCTCAATTCCTTTTGCATCATTCTTCTGCAAGTCTAGAACTCAGAAAGCAAGGGCTTGCTAAGGGTCATAATGCAACCTGTATTTAATTTTCATTCTCTTCCTAAATTCTTCTGCTTGGAAAAGAAGGGCACAAGACCTGCAGGATACTCTGTAAATTGTTACTAAAAGCAGTTGGGCTGTATTTGACGTTTGCAGTCTCTGAAGTTGTTGATTTTGTTCAACAAAATAAAACTGTTAGCTTTCACAAAGGGAATATTACTTCCTTTTCAGCTATCAAGGTCCCAAGCATAAAACCATAAATCTTCCAGAGATTGTTGATGTACTGTACCTGTGATGTATTACTGCCCTTACTGCCTGAAGCTGGTTCATCTTTAGCTGACACCTTCTGCTGCTTCTTGTTCATCCCTAGGAATATTAAAATCATATAAGATACCCTGGCATATAAATACCATAATAAGCGAAATTAAGTATGGAGAATGAAATAGGCAGCACAGTGGGAATCACAGTCCTTTGCATGGCATCCAAAAAGCTAATGAACTTTGTCATAGAATAACTCAATTTAATCCTGCAAATTACCAGTACATCTGCATGTATTGCAAAGACTTTAGGAAAGTCAAGTTAGCACTAAGTAGGTGCAAAAGCAGACAAACATGAGCTTAAATTCCACTGAATGCAGCTCAGGTATGCTCTTAGGTAGCTGCTTAACAGAGTTGCATGTCAGCATGTCTTGAGTCTAACTGACCCTATTCAGGCTGAGGGAACACTGTCTGATTTACTGTGGGTGGGATAGTAAAATCACGAGAGAAAGAACGTTAGATATTAATCTTTAACAGTTTATTTAGACTTATTAGAAGTCTAATTAATTTTAGGAGCAGTTAATTTATTTAAAGTTTTAAAGTCTACCTTGGTTTAATTAATTTACCTACACATAAAAGTATTAAATTGTTTGTCAGCCACATTGGATCCAATTTCCATCTCAGAAATCTAAACACCTACATTTGTGCCTTAGATCTCTTTCATATTCCTCATGTTGGTTTATATAGAATTCCTGTATTATATGCTACTACAGGCTTCCTCGCCTTTCCAGTATCCCGTATTTCTTGGCAGTTTGCAAACACAGACTGAACTATGGAGAAGTTTAACTCTTTGAAGAATGGGGAGTGTAGGACTCCTCCATGGTTTTTATTGGCATCAAGTATTACATACTTCATAGGAACACAGGCCTCCTTTCTGGAGGAGACTGGATGGAAGGGACCAAGAAAGGTAGAGTGATGAGAAAAAACACATTGAAGCTGACAAAGCAGTGTTGTCCAAAAAGAAGGGCATTTTGTTAGATAATGATACTGCAACCTGCACTTTTAGTGAGTCCTAAAAAGCTTCCATACTCATGTAATCTCTGAAAGCTAAAAGTGCATTTAGAGATTATTGATATTGAAATTCAATAAATAGTAGTAAAAAACGCCGAGCTCTTAAAATGAATTGTGACATTACCTAAAAATACTGAAAATCAGAAAGCATAAATAAAACTCTCAGAATTGTCTACATGCACATAAACACACATTCAACTATACCAGCACTTTCATATGTGAGGAAATGGTAAATACAACATACCTAAAGGAAAAAGTCACCATATTTTAAAATCTCTTACGTTTCTTAATATACACATTGGTGTACCTTGTTTCTATTATGCTTCCACTTATGATTTAATTCTTATATGGAAAACTCTGCATGACTTACTTTTGGATTTATTATTGGGACAAATTATGTTCCCTCCCCTTCTCATGCTAAAATAAACATATGTCCTATACTTTCTGTGTAATCCTATACTAACAAACATGTCCTATACTTCCTGTGTAATCCTGACATGGCGATACTGGGGAATACTCTTAAATATACACAGCTGAACATGTCTATTCACGAATATTTGTTTTGTCAGATCAGGTCATAAAAGCCCATGAATCCATAGATAATGTTAGAAGGACTTAGGCAGATACTGAGAAAAAATCACAAAGTTGGATTTCCACTGCATAATCAAGACCTGCTACATTACACACAGCATCCAGTATTAGCTACTATTTACTGCAAGCACAGTTTCAAGATACTCAGCACCTTGGAAAATGAGGACAGGTATTTAATAAGGGAATTTAGATTTTCTATTTTTTGAATAAATTAAATCTTGGTCAACAAAGATAAAATCTAATACAGTGTTGTAAACAGTGAAGCTGGTAAGAAAAGCAGTAGACTGAGATACCCCCCAATATTTCTCCAACTTTAGAGTGATTTATAAATATCACCTGAGTAACCAAATGATATGCTTGACAATGGACTAAGGTAGATTCCACTTCCAAACATTGCACCATGGAGCTGAAAAAGAGCGCAGTGGTTGTTTAACATTAATTTGGTTATCTGGACAAAATAATAATGATAGGAACAGGTTGTAATGTAGGTAAGCATCTGCCCCACTGCACTAATATATTGCCTGGTAATAAATAGTGTTCAAAGAACTCTTTAAAAAAAAATCATGCTTGCAAATATACAACTAAAATACTGTATATTCTGGAAACCATGTCCAAATGCCCAAACATAATTTTACATCAGATTTATATATAAAATTGCATTTTCTGTTTTTAAATCTAACATTATCATGGAGGATGCCTACAGAGGGTGCTTCTGTACATGTCCAAATACACCTCAGCCTTGTTAAGGCTGAGGAAGCTCAGCATGTGTCTCACATCAAAACCTTGGCAGGAAGCACAGCTGAAGCCAGCCTCTGTGAATCAACAGCAGCAACAGCTGCTTTTGTTTTCTTTAAGGTAAGAAATGAAGAGATGGTGATGACACTGGTCATATGCTATAGAAAAATTTAGTCACTAGGTCAGCCTGAGTACTGGAGGAATGGGTTCAATCAAGCTTTTTGCCTGAGCCAATTCAGACATGCATATTCCATCACTGCAGGACTGTGCTTTAGCCACAAAGCTACCAGCTGTCTGAAAAGAATAGAGGAAAGGGAAGACTCTTCTTCACCAACATCACTGTTCCATGTCACGAAGCTTGGGCTAAGCAACAAAAGTGAGCATTTTTTATTGGCCCTGCAGTAATTTTCTTGTCTAGAAAGGGGGAAATACGGGTTTCACTTCTCCACCAGGGACTGCTTTGTGTGGAAAAGCTGTTAAAGAAAACACATCAAGTAATTGTTGGAGCACAAATGAGAACCCAGAGTATCTCCTACCTAGGTAGATGTTATAACCACTGGGCTTCACAGTCATGCTCACCCTTATTTCTTTCCTCTGACCCAATGATATTTACATTGTCTTTGCAATATGCCTGAGCTCTCCTAAGAATGTGCAAACATGCCTTCATTCCTCCAGATCCTACAATGTTGTATAGGATCCCTGGTGAGTGGATCTTTTTCCTGACTGGTTGGTACTGGTGTAAATAGGATGAACTGGGCTCAGGATATGCCTTAGGTGTGTGACAGATCTAAAAATGGTGACTTGTATAAAATAGGGCTTTACTGCTTCCTCCTATTCCCAGTATCTCAACCCTCAACAAAAAAGTAAGCATAAACAAAGGGGTTTACTTTGGTGAATTTTGGTGTGTAAATCCTGCTTTCTTGGGGAATTATCTACCAAAGACACTAATAAAAACACCCAAACCACTAAGAGGAACAGCAGAGATTTCCATTTCTTTTTTTTCAATGTCTTCTGTATCCCGATCCTTAGTTAGCACCCTGGGATCCTCCTCCAAGGTATCATGGACTCAGCTCTGGGGAAGAGCTGTCAAAACCATGATGCTAAAACATTCTGAGTTACAGCTCCCCAGTCCCTCTGGTACTGCCTACTTTGTTCTGCAATAGTGGTCTCCTGGTGATTCATCTGAGAAAACTAACTGAAGTTTGCAATAGCTTCCTCCTGGCTAGTACACTCGTATTTCCATTCCCAAGGAAACCAGAGGAGAAGAGAAGATGCCGTAAACTCAGTTCCTGTAAATCTAGTATGGTCTTGGATCCTGTAACATGGAGATAGTTTATGTAGCTCTAAATTTTAATCCCAAGACTGCTTTTAAGCAGTACTGAGCTAAGCCTCCTGGAGGTGCTGCTCTGCAATGTAAAATTGAAACACTGATTCCAGCAAAGGGATTTCTAGCCATTTTAGCAGACACATTATTTCATTTTAATTGCATCAGAAAAGTACCTTTTCCAGGAAACAAGAGGGTATTTGAAATCATCCCTTTTTTCCACCTATATGACTACCAGAACCACACCCCCTGAAAACTTGCCTAAGCTAGTATGTAAACAAGCATGCACAGGTTAGCTAAAATCTATTTAGTCTACTATTTACCTGCAGCCTCGTATTAGAAGCAACAACTAAGCCGTTCCTCAGGATGGAATGCCAATTTTCAATGTGTGAGCCACTGAAAAAATGAAAAAGAAAGCGTTAAAATCCACAGTGTAAAATGCAAAATGAAATCAGTAATCCTTTAAAACAATAAATTCACAGCTGTAAACCTCATGGCAAGAACAAAAAAATAGCATGGCATTTTGATAACCTTTAATTAATATGAATATATGTACTTACTGAAATGCAAAGGTACTTCCGTAGAGATTTTTAGCAGCTCGGAAATTGGATTCTTTGGCTGGTGGACTGCTGAGAAGGAGGAACTGGTGGGGAGTGTGCATAAACTTTAGTTGCTGTAAAATATAACAGTGCACAAGTGAAAAGAAGTTGATTAACACAAAAGCATTGTATTTTCATAATGATAGTTCTTAAGATACCACGCTGTTTCACACAATACATGACTGCATCTAAATAACTACATGAACTAAGTTGAAATTGGTCTCATTACTATAGTTTTTATCTGAAATCAAACAGTAAAAATGTCTTTCAGTTTATCAAACATATGGAAGTTTCTGAAACAGATTTCAGCCTAATATGGCTCTAGTAAAGTAATTAAATTGAACAATTTCATCATGGTATTCTGATCAGAGCTGGCTTTGAATTAAGGTTCAGATTTGAAAGGCTGCAGATTACTATGCCCTTAATCAGAGGATCAGAGGCACACATACTCAGAAATGAACCTCAGCACCATTCCTCTAAAATTCAAGAGCTATACTTTTTTAAGGCGTACTTATATGTGGATCTCCTGGTACATCATGTTTGTGTGCACTGCTTTCTGCACAATTCTGTATCTAATGTTCTATATGGTAACAAAACAAGTAGTGAAGTTATTCTCACCCAATCTCAGATGACTACAAAGTAGACACTTGTATTTGAGCTACTCAACTAGGATTTTTCTGAGCGTTATTCCTTTGACCTATTTTAGATATTGACAGCATGATGCCACGAGTTATGACCTGAAACTGCCTATTTCTCTCCTTTGTCTATTAATGGAGTCCATGTGATTAGTTTGCATGTAGACATCTATGTTTGGCTAGGAGACTCACACCTAAAATACTAATACAAACCATGAGAAATGAGAAAATAATAAAGAACCCACTGACACTTACCCTATTTACCGGTAGCTTCACAATATGTGATCTATTACTAGAAATAACCCTAAAATAAGAAACAGTTAGATGTATTAGACATGGTAACCAAACAGGACTTTTCTTCTTAAAAATGTGTTATGAATGGACACCACAAAGCACCCAGCTCCAGGCCTTTGAACCTATCAGATTGGAAATAGACCAAATCTTGACTAGAAAATGAGATCAGAGGCTGTACAAATAAGCTGGAGTCTTTCCACTGTTTTCAGAGGACCCAGATGAGGTCAGAAACAGTCCAGAAACCTGCAGTTGCAAATGTCAACCCTGATGTTAATTCTTAGGGTGAGCTTATACCAAATTACACTGGTGAAGTGATTAGTCATTAAACTTGGTACTTTAATAATTATCATCTCATGTGAGTCAATTTTATACCATTGTAGAAGAGGATGTGCAAGTGGGTCTTGTTTATCCATCTGCTTCTTTATTTCCAAGTAAGGTGCCTAGAAAAGAGTAATTATGTTCTTTATTTCTAGTTGAAATCATAAGGTTAAATTTTTTGTTATATTGCCCATGATTTCATTTATTAAAACAAATACATGGGACTCATTATTAGGCTTAAATCATAGTTTTACTGACATAGCGTTGTAGAGTTATAAATATGTTTTGACAACAACAAGAATTAATATAGCAATTATTTTCCCTGGAGTAAAATAATAAGCATATAATTAGCATCAAAATGAGTATATTATAGCAAACATTGGTGATCTCAGGGAGAACAGCAAAGACGTCTATTTTATACCATTGTAGAAGAGGATGTGCAAGTGGGTCTTGTTTATCCATCTGCTTCTTTATTTCCAAGTAAGGTGCCTAGAAAAGAGTAATTATGTTCTTTATTTCTAGTTGAAATCATAAGGTTAAATTTTTTGTTATATTGCCCATGATTTCATTTATTAAAACAAATACATGGGACTCATTATTAGGCTTAAATCATAGTTTTACTGACATAGCGTTGTAGAGTTATAAATATGTTTTGACAACAACAAGAATTAATATAGCAATTATTTTCCCTGGAGTAAAATAATAAGCATATAATTAGCATCAAAATGAGTATATTATAGCAAACATTGGTGATCTCAGGGAGAACAGCAGAAGACGTCTATTTATGTTTGGCTCTTGGATTAAGAAATTGGACTGGAACTTGACAAAATTAAGACTCTCAAAATACCCCAAGATAATCCATTCCATTTTTTTTAACTGTTTCATGGTATAAACTGGTAAAGTAAAACACTGTATCAGCTTATAATCCCTTTGAAAACCTTTCTTGATTTCAATCACAGTGCAAAGCATCCTTTTAAAACTCTTCAGTCCAAGAATTATTTTAACATTAAAAAAAAAGCAAAATGGTTATTTTTCTTTTTAAAAGACATTCTATAAGGTAACAGAAATACCTGATTTTTTTAATTTTTACAAGATGTTACATTAAGTAACAAAAATATGTGAATTTTAATTTTCAATTTATTTTGCTCCTCTCTACACACCTCATTATTCATTCCAGAAATCCAAAGTACTTTATGAATACATATAGAGCAAGATTTATAAACTGTTGTGAGGTTACATTTATATAGCAGTTGGAAAAGCAATGTACATGGGAGAGATTTGAGTTATAATCAGCTAGGCTGTTTGGGAAAGGAGGTGTAACAATAAACATAAGTATGGCTATCAGATTCTGTCCCACTGTGAATATTGAGAAATCATATGGTAGTAATCCCAAGAAACCCAGCCTTCAAGTCTCCAACCATACTTAGAGCTGATCAAGTGGTTTGCTATAATAGAAATAAAGCTATCATTCAGAACACTCACAAAATCAATTTCTTTTGCTTTGGAAATAAAAGACCCAGTTTGGCTTTGATATTTCCAGAAATGCAGCAGTTGGTGATTATCTCATTACAAAATCCCATTCTGTTGTTATTATCTCTTATTTAAACTTCAAAACATCTGATTTCTACTTCATCACTTTTATTTGACTGCCATTAGGGATACTCCAGGTTTGTTATTTTTAACATACATTTTAATCTTATTATAGCTCTATAGGAAAGAGATGATACTATTGACTTCCCTACCCATCACAGGCAAGCAATATAAACACCTTCCTAGTTCTAGAAATAGCAATTAAGTTAGGTAAAGATTTTTAAACTCACCTGTGTCATCTCTCTAATAGAAGTGATACTGTCCAACGCTTTCATGACTCGGTCATAATTCTTCTGCTGATGTAGCATGAAATAAGCAAATAAATTAAAAGAGTATTAGTCTTTGGCTCTACAAAAACCTGAATTGAGTGTGTATAAAACCAAAGCTAGGACGAATGTTCAGCAAACCAATCCTTTCAAACATTTCTAACCAGTAGCTTCCTTCCACCTCACACATAGATGCATTCATAGTCCAGGAAAATTCCCCGAAAAAATACTATCATGATGGTTTTTCTTTGAATTTCACTGGAATCTCCAACACACTCAAAAAATTAGCTCACTTTTTAAAGAAATATTTGTAACCAAACACAGGTTCTGACAGTTATTTGGACAACATGCTATTAAGCTGAATAATGCAGTGACCAAATAAATTTTAAATAAAATGCTACATAAACAGATGTATTTACTTTGCTAACAGCTCTATAAAACAACAGAGGTCCTTCAGTTGTCCCTCTGCCTCACCCTGATCCTTGCCTACCTTCTGCTTGGGAACCACTACCAGACGGCTCCACCTTTTCTGAGTGGATGAGCTTAACAGTCCATGCTTCACCAGCTCCATATGTCATGTCACCTTCAGGAGCTTCACTGTTCCCCATCTTTGGGTCTTGCCAACTTCTGCCCATGGGCTTTCACCTCGCCCATGCTCGCAAGAAGGTGGGAGGACGCGGTGTGGGCCCTGCCAGCCCAGGGGCTCTCTCCATTCCTCTCTGGTGTGACCCTCTTTCATATTCCCTCGTCTGCTTCAAACTCCTGCCTTGCCCAGCCACCAGACTAGCTGTCTCCTCATCAGACCCCTTCCAAGCACCTCCTGCCAAGTCTTTCTTCCCACATGCTACAGAACATGCTCGCCCCTTCCTGAGGAAGAACCACTGCTAACTGGCCTTTGTTCAGAAAAAGTTAAATGCATCCCAATGCACGACATCCAAAGTTCTCATATATGCCCTTGGGGATGGCTCAAGTGAGATGTAATAGTTCATGGCTTCTCGAGGGCTTCCCTGAGAGGCAGTATTTGCAGCCTGAGGAGCAAGTAGTGCAAACAAAATTCTTTACTTCAAAACTAATGCTTGTACAAAACTCGACTATTATGTCAATATTTGATAAAATTACATTTAAGGACTTAATTGTTTGCAAAGAGAAAATGAGATGACAATAATAACTACTTTAAGAATAAAAAGATGGACTATAAATCCCCCGGTTTACATGGTCTACACCTCCCAAAGGCCATCTTTCTCTTTGTGTCCAATGTGTACACTGAGAGAAAGACACTAAGAATATAAAATTTTGCATCTAGAATTTGTACCCTAAAAGAATTTTTTGGCTTCAACATAGCTTTGCATGCAACTTGTAGTTTATACTCAGATACCTTCTCAGAGACAATTAAAAAAGCTACAAAGTTCTGAAAACAGTCACAAGCTTGTGATATATTCTGGACCTGTATCTCTTATAGTAAAGGAGACTCCTCCAGAAGAAGGCTTTGTTTTGAAATCTCATGCATGACTAAAACCAAGCTACGACATAATGAAAGGTAACTACTTACCCTGGGGTTAAAGGCCAGCATCTGAGGATCATTAGGATCAACTACAGAAGGATATGGCTCAAAAATGACAACTTTCCTAGGTGACTCTAATGCAGACCGACACATGGATACTAACAGATCAACCACCTAGGGATAAAGAAAAATATTTATTCAGTATATGTACTTTCATATTGTATCTTCCAGTCTGCTTTTTTTACACATTATAGTAACACCATATTTCATTGTTACCTATATTACCCAAACCATGTTATGCACAGGATATAGTTTAGGACTGAAATTTTTCCATTGACCTCAACAGGCTTTGGGTTCAGCCCTGGTACATTATTCCAGGTGCATAAGAAGGACCAGTATCTGGTCCTAAATGTATTATCATGTCAAATACATTGCTTGCAGTCCTGCTTTCTCTTGTGCACATGTGCTAACTCCTGGATTAAATTAATTCTCTAGGGAAATGAAGTCATGCTGGATCTATGTATCTCTGTACAGTAGGTGCCAGTGAAAGACGTTGCTCAAGAATGAGGAAGGGTTTGTGAATCTGTACCACTGCCTGCTGTTCTCCTGAAGACTGTAATCATAGCAACACTTGTAAACATTGCTTCTGCTAAAGCCAGAACAGTGCAGTGATTTGTCATTTGCATGGCTCACACTGGGACATCGTCTTCCTTCCATCCCGTTGTACAAAATTACAACATGGTTTTGAGTATCTGTGATTTCCAAGATTTCACCATAAGATCATGCGTGTAATATGTACACAGGCATGTATTCACATATGTGCACATAGGCACATATACAACTTAGCAACAGATGTCTGTATAATTGTTTCAAAATTTGTAATTCAGAGGTTAAAAATAGAATACAGCAATCACAAACCAGAGAGAATGAAGCTTTCTGGCAGCTGTGAAACCTAAATCCAGCTCATAATGAAATCCAAAGTTGCTACATAAAAATGTAGCTGAAAATTAGCTCATTTCCCCCTGTTTTTTCTGTGCTTTCTGAAAACATTCCTGTGTGAAAACAGGCTTTTCCATGAAAGAAAGGAAAAGCTGAGATGAATCGTACTTAGTAGGCATCCCTGGTTACTCCCACAACTCCACACGGATCAGATCTCATCTCACAGCTCAAGCTGTTCTAAAAGTTTTTATATATCTGCCATTGTATCTGATCATTTGGAGGAAAAAAAATGATGATGCTTTAGAGAAGCAGAATGAGAATAAGAATCATGAAAAGGAACTGCACGCAGTGAGTCATACTGCTGCCATTCTCCTCCTCTGCTCCTTTAGCATGAATGGACAATTTTGTCCATCAGTTTAAAAATATTCTGTTAGTTCCAGTTACTAAATATCTCACATATATTGAAAAATGAAGTTATTTAAATAATGATCCCTTCCTCCATGGTGCTCTGATTACTTTCCAGTTTATAATACCTGGAACTGTGATGAATGTTTCAAAATAGGGCATCTGCATTAGCATTTGCAAAGACCAGGAGTCTGCATACACAGCCAGGTCAGGCAACGGGCCTGCAACCGTGTAAATGTATTACCATGAAATTGAGCCCAAGTTCATACACCCTGCTTCTTAGAAGCACTTCTTAGCCTCCAGTTGCAAAACACTACTAGAGAAGAGTTGAGTCCCTGAATCTCTTAATACAGTGACTCAAAGTTGTCTTTCTTTATGATTTGCACGATGGGACTTCATCTTAAAATTGCCACAGTTCTTCCTAGAACACCATCCCAAAGCCCTCCTTTAAACCAATTGTTGACACCTATATGGTTTCTCACCATGATACCTGCATATTCCTCTGACATGGGGAAAAACGTGCATAGATTAGCCTTAGTTAGACCCCTGGTTTCCCCTGAGATAATTGTTTTGAGCAGACGGAATGCAGAGCAACTTAAATTGGGAGGTAAGTGTAATACAAATGTTATAATATAAACTTGCGTACGTGTTCCTTGGTAATAGGAAGTGCTGTGGATCTAGTAAATGTCCTTATAGCTGGGGCTGAGCTCCTCCTCCTTAACAGTAGGTACTGAAGTACCTAAGTAAAGATTAAAGTATTTTCAAGGAGAAGACGACACTTGCTGATGACAACTCCCTCTTATGACATCAGTCTCTCAGACAGTGCCTCCTTCTCTCCAGACACTCTCTACAGGGAGTTTGAACTATCAACAAATCAGGCATTTAACTTTCAGGCATTTTGACTACGTGACTAAAATAAGGCAAGATGAGTTCGGGCTTGAAAGTTTTAGAAAGTACAATCACTTATTATTAAGGAGGAGCCATCAGAATATTGGGAGTGACAAAGTAGGGGTATATACCTTAGGAAACTAGCTGAAAGGCCAGCAGAAAAAAACCAGGATGTGATTTCTAATAATGGGAACCGGTATTTAGGCTCCTTCACTACACAAAATGATTTGGAGGAAGATTCATCTGACAAAAAGTAGAGATTCACAATGCAAACACCTACCTCTTACTAGTCAGCCTAGGCTCTCTTTCTAATCAACGGAGAAAATAACCACTGTGCTGATAGTCTATGCTGTGATTCACACTATCTTAAACTAATATTAAAAATAGCTCAGATGAATCAAACCCTAGAAATGCTTAATTCTTTCTGCAAACAGGAATGGGAGCTCAACCAGATCAGGTGTAGTGAGCTGTGTGCAATGCTAGCACTAGAGTGAAACTTAGCAAAATTTAGTCACCTAGGTGCAATGGGACAATCAACAAAACCTCTTATCTAACTCTTTTAAGCACCGTTAAGGTTGTAATCACTTTAGTACTCTACAGCAAAGCTCTGTACATGTAGAGATACGGTAGAGATCTAGAGCAAGCTCCACATTTGCCTGCAACAGTGATCCCTACATAAAACAGAGTGAGAGCTCACCAGGACCACCTCTCCTGTCAGCTGTATTTAAAAAGAGAAGTGAGAGCTACTTGTTTGTACCTCATGCACAACGTTCGAAACCAGGATAAATGTACATGTAATGTAACATGTAAGTTTGTACCTAATTTTTCCCTAAGTTTAGGAAAACAAAATTCCAGCTGTTCAAGGAGTTAGTCAATAGGACCCCCTGGGAAACTGCCCTCAGGGACAAGGGAGTGGAACAGAGCTGGCAGATCTTTAACGGTGCTTTCCATAGAGCACAAGAGCTCTTGATCCCCAGGTGTAAGAAATCAGGAAAGGAAGGCAAGAGACCAGCATGGATGAGTCAAGACCTGCTGGTCAAACTAAAGGGCAAGAAGGAAGTGCACAGGCAGTGGAAGCAGGGACAGGTATCCTGGGAAGAGTACAGGGACGCTACCCGGTTGTGTAGGGATGGGGTCAGGAAGGCCAAGGCGCAGCTGGAGCTGAACTTGGCAAGGGATGCAAAAAATGGTAAGAAGGGCTTCTACAGGTAAGTCAGCCAGAAAAGGAAGGTCAAAGAAAGTGGACCCTCCCTGATGAACACAACTGGCAAACCGGTAACAACAGACGAGGGGAAGGCTGAGGTACTCAGCAACTGTTTTGCCTCAGTCTTCACTGGCAATCTCTCGTCCCACACCTCTCGAGTGGATGGACCTCAAGGCAGGGACTGGGGGAGCAAAGTTCCTCCCACTGTAAGAGAAGATCAGGTTTGAGACCACCTGAGGAATCTCAACATACGTAAGTCTACGGGACCTGATGAGATGCATCCCAGAGTCCTGAGGAAATTGGTTGATGTAGTTGCCAAGTCACTCTCCATGATATTTGAAAAGTCATGGCGATCAGGTGAGGTCCCCGGACACTGGAAAATGGAAAACCTTGCACCCATTTTTACAAAGGGTAGAAAGGAGGACCCTGGGAACTACCGACCTGTCAACCTCACCTCTGTGCCTGGCAAGATCATGGAACAGATCCTCCTGGAAGCTATGCTAAGGCACATGGAGGACAGGGAAGTGAGTGGAGACAGCCAGCATGGCTTCTGTGATGGAGTGGCTACACGAGTGGACAAGGGAAGAGCTACGGATGTCATCTATCTGGACTTCTGTAAGGCCTTTGACATGATCAACCCACAACATCCTTCTCTCTAAACTGGGGAGAGACGGATTTGATGGATGGACTGTTTGGTGGATAAGGAATTGGCTGGGTGATTGCAAACAGAGGGTAGTGGTCAACGGCTCAATGTCTGGATGGAGGTTGGTGACAAGTGGCGTCCCGCAGGGGTCCGTATTGGGACCGGT